GTGCCAGTCTGGCAACACTAATTTAACAAATGATACATTCCACTAAAAATGTAAACCTACTTACTTTTTTAAGCCTTTAGCAACAACATTCTATAAGCAGCTAAGAGCTTAAAATATGTCGCTTCACTTAGAAATATATTTTCTAAGATAGCACTTGTTAATATCCTTCCTGACTAAAACTTTCGATAGACATTTGCTATTCCTGAAAGGGTTAAAAGAGAATGTTATTTTTCGGACTTTTTTTTACACAAAAAGAAGCGCACAAAGTACAATTTTTTAACACTATATTTTAATAGTTATATTGGCTATTACAACAAAGCATAAAGGGAGTGCAATCTATTTTGAAATATGGTCGTAATTTCGGAACTTTCGTCCCGTAACTAGTAATTAATTTGTATAAATATTATTTATAAAACATTAACTGGCATGATATATCAAAACCTCGGTTTAATCGACAAACCTATCAAAAAAATTAATTTTAAGCTAATAAGCCTCATTGAAAAATTCAAATTGTTTAATCAAATATAAATCCACGGCTGATAGCCCGTGGATTTATATTTGATTAGATTTTATACGTTTTTATAAGTGTATGATAGTGTTTTTCTTCCAACATCCTTGGAAGTATAATAAAAGATCTGAAGTTATTTAAAGAAAGAAGAAAAAGAGGAAACTGGTAAAGGAGCCCAAATTAATTAAAGCGAGGAAGAAGCAAAAGCGCTATCGAAACCTTACCGATTGTTAAGATCGTTCTGGGAACGTTTGATTTTTTAAGACTGTTGATTTTATAAACTAGAATGGAAGAGAAAAAAAAATTTACTTAACCATTTAGGGAGAAAAATGTCAAAGTTAAACTTTTTAAAAGTACAATAAATGCTTAATAGATTACTACATACATATTTTGCTTTTACTGAATCTGCATTTGATATTTTAATTAAACTTAAAGTACAGNAAAAAAAAAAAAAAAAAAAAAAAAAAAAAAAAAAAAAAAAAAAAAAAAAAAAAAAAAAAAAACGAATCTCCCTGAATAACTTTTGATCTCAGGATTTTTCACGCACTGTGTTATGGTTCGAGGAGGTGACCTCAAATATACTAATTATTAGTGCATGAAGTTATTATATTAGAAAGTTATTATATTAATTATTAGTCAAATGCAAAAGCGTACGTTCTTTTAATAAACATACTTTTTTTTACGGATAAGAATTTCTCAAAATACGGTCGTGATAATTCGGACGCCTTAACGTAATTTTTACTTTTTGCGCATTTTACCAGATCTCGATAATTTAAGTGAATCGAAGAATTTTTGCGCGTAATTTTAAAATTCAATTCGTTTATCCATAGATAATTCCTTGCAGAAAATAATTTTGAATAATTTTATTTTATTTTTTAGCAACGGAAAAATGTTTGAATTGTAAGGTATAATTTTTGCAACGTTTCAAAGAATGTAATTTTATAAGGCAAAATATAAAATTCAGTCCGAAATTTGAACGAATCCTGAAAAATCAAATTTGGAGGAAGTCTTATATTTAAAATTCGATTTCTCTGAAAGTATTCGACCGATTTTGATTTACGTTAATACGTTAATTGCATAAATTACATTCTTTAAAATGATGTAACAATTTTTATATCTTGCTATTCAATTTTCTCGATTATTATTGAATAAAATAATAATTATTAAAAATTATTTTTTCATGGAATTATCTTTAGATAATTGAGCTTTATAATTTGTTTGCAATTTTTTTTTCTGACTCGTCTGAAAAATTCTCGAGCTAGGGCAAAATACGCGAAAAGTAATATTAACGTTAATATTCCAGTGATTTTTATTAATGTCGGTCTCTATACTTATTAGTTTAGAAAATTAATGTGTGTGTAAGAATTGAAAAGTTTCACTTTTTTTAAGCGATGGTTTGTTACTTGTCTAGTTCTTAATCGTTTAGTTGCATCATTGTGTACAATGCAATCAACAAAAAAAAAAGTCAAAAAATTTTTGGGCAACAAGGGGGCGTGTACTCCGCGTTTACTAAAAAAAGGCCTAACTCTCAATTGTAATGAAAGTTACTAAGGAATAAGTATACAATGTAAAAAAAAAATAAAATTTACAGAAAAATATCTGTATTTTTCAATATTTACTATTCTAACTCGTGTATTTATATGGAAATATTATTTTATAACAAGAGTCTAAAATGCCGTGAAAAATTAGTAGATTTTTGTTTGATAATGTAAGTCAGAAAATTAAAACTAAAATGCTTAACCCTTTTTTTCTCTCTCTCTCGTTATTGCATTTATTGTTTTGATTAAACCATTTGTAAGTTCCGATGTATTTTGCTGTGTCTATATGAGCTAATCTAACACATTATAAGTACTCTTTTTTTTTCCACCCTTCTATTACTAAATTGCTCTTTATTTTTTATTGCTTTCCTACCTTTCTTTTTATTTATATAGCGCAGATCCGTTTGGTTGATGTTTAGATACATTAATATATTTGTTTTATTTATCTTTTTTTTTTTATTTCACCACCCAGATACTTGCCCTATCAGCGTCTTTTGATCTATAATCTGACCCAGAGAAAGCTTTTTCCGGCGACAGTAGAATTTCCTTCCTTGCGAGTATTACGTCAATCCAAGTCGGAAATTTAAGAATTTCAGAGAGCCTCAAACTTTTTCTGCAGCCTTGAAAGTAATTTGAAATCAACTGGTTGTGTAAAAATATAATTTTAGAATTTGTTTAAAAAAAAAAATTTAAATTTTGAGTGCTTGGTCTATTTTTAGGGCTGTCATCCCGTTCACCTGCTCCCCCACACAAAAGAAAAAATAAACAGGTTTTACTAAAAAAAAAAACGAAAAAAAGTTTTTTTCCCCCAAAAAATTTAAAAATGAATGGTAATTTTACCCATTTTTAATATTATTGCGAGTTTTTATTTTTGTATGCTTTATTAATTATTTCATAACCAATGGACAAACTTTATATCAGCGGACATATATCATGATTTATATTCAATATTTAAAAGTAAATACAGGGTATCCACAAACGTGGAAAATCAATAAAATCGTGGATTTCGAACATGCTCAAAATAAATTTGTCATGGAAAAATCCACACTTATTAGTGAAAAAAGCTAAAAAGATCATGGTTAACAGCCTGTTTATCACTGATTTTGCCTGTTGGAACATGTAATTCTTCTTAGCTTTGTAATTCTGCTGTAATTCCTGAAGTATAAAATTGTATTTTACCTCCTCCCCCCCGCAAATAGAAATGTTGTTTTTCAATTTATTTCAATGTAACTAATTGTCGAGTGTTATTAAAACGACCAATTCGTCATTCTTACTTTCGGTATTATTACTACTTATCATTATTACTTTCGTTGCGATCTTCAATTAGTCATTAAATATTTAATGGTTTTGTGCAGATTGTTTTTATTAGAGCGATTTCGATTGATTCATCACGGGAGAGCTATAACTTCCGTTGCTTTCGTTTTTCAATTAATTTGAGTCTAATTAATTTTCAAACGTTGTAACATCTTATTCTGCTGCTTTACTACTTTCTTTTTTTTTTTTTTTTTTTTTTTAAAAAATTTAGCACAATTTGGATCCATTTGTTGCAGAACACTTACGTTTGTTTTTTGAAATCAATCTAAATAATTTTTAATGTTATTTTGCTATTGTTTGTATTATCGCGATTGCTAGTTTAACATCGCTAGCTTTAAATCTCATTTTGCTCTTTTCTTTCTTTCTTTCTTTCTTTTTTTTTTAACTGTACGATTTGCATATTTATATTTACATATTTATTTTTTTCGTGCTATTCTGATCGATTTGTCGCAGGCGAGCATTTTACGTTCGTTTATCTATCTCTCTTTTTTTTAAAATTTTTTTTTTTATAATTATAAACCTGCTCCAAAATGAAAATTCTTTGCATTTTTAAGTGCTATTTCGTTCGATTTGTCTTTAGAGCTATTAGTTTAACATTGTTGCGTCTGTTTCTCTATCTCTTGTAATATAATTAATTGCGGAGTGCTATTTTTAACCTTGTTTATTTATATATTTTTTAATATATATTTGAATTAATTTAAATTTTAAATATTTGTTATTAGCACGATGCTGATCGTTTTCGCTGTGTTTAATCATGTTACAATACATTAAATTCTCAATATGTTTCGATCTATTTAGTTATTGTTATTTTGCCCATAATGTTTTTAATGGATTGTCTGGTGAAAAACTTGTGAAAATAAGAATTTGTTATTTTGAGGAGGAAAAAAGCAAAAACCATGAGTATAATTATGAATTTTAGATGTCAGGACCCACTCTCCCTTTTTTTTTCGATGGTTTGTTTTTGCTGTAAAATATTTTGTGAATGGTTCATTAACAAGCCTAAATTTCTCATATGACTCCTGAATATATATTTATTTTCAAACAAAGTATGAATAAATGTCTGTTGATGAGTAGTTTAAAGGATTTGTTCAAAATATCCCCATTTCTTAATTCATACTGGCTCTTAGCCACCCTACCTCATTATAAAAAAATTCCTACTTTTAAATTTTCATTTATCAAAAACTATTTGGACTAATTCCGTTTAAATTATAGATATTGTCATTTAAAATTACAAAATTTGAAAGTGATATAAAAATTTATATGCCTTTTTTAATTTAAATTTTTTTTTTTAAAAAATAGTAATAAAAATAATAAAAATTTTTTAATAGACGAGTATAATTGTGTGCAAAAAAATATTTTATGATAATGACTGATTTCATAATTGATTAATAATTCATAATTGATTTCATAATTGATTTCAATTTGATTAAGATTTAATTATTTGATTATTATTTAAAATGTAGGAGATATCTTGAAACATTAAAAAAGTAAAAATAAACATTCAGGAGTTCAAATTAAACTGCTTTAATTTCATGAAAATTAAGACTGGTTAAGGCTTTTTACTTATGGAATTACCTCTTGGTTTCAAATAAATTATATTATTTGCTGATTAAATATTAACTTGATTGTTATATTTTTAGGTGGTGCTGATAGCAACAAAGGCAAAAGCAAAAAATGGAAAAAAATACTCCAGTTTCCTCATATATCTCAATGCATAGATCTGAAAAATCAAATAGGTAAATTCTTCATTATTAAGCAATTGCTAAAGCATTTTTGTAGGTTTTGAATAAATCACCAAGATCTTATTAAAATAGACAAGTACTGTGTTAAATTAAAAATCAAAAACTATGTATTGCATAGTATGAATTTTAAAATTAGACAGAGGATTTAAATTAAAATATACCATTTTTATCCAATTTAATAAAGTGAGGTCTTTATTTTCTGAAGGTATTGTACCGATTTAATAATACCCCAGCATCCGGTAGGTAGGTACTTTATTTATGCCGCACTAGAGCTGCAGAATGGTCTATTGTGGGGATGGTACATCCCGAGGATCATCCGTAGACATACCATCACAATTTTGACACTGCAGAAGGGATCTCATTTGTGATGCCACTTCCTCAATTTAGAAAAGAAATTTTCTCCAGATCTCTGTTCCCATGGTACTGCTCAATAACCAACCACATGACTTTTGATTCCGCAATTTTTATAAGCACATACATCACATGTCATCGGTGGGGCTTAGAGGAGTCAAAAATCTAACCCCGGAGTCTCTGAAGTCCAACTCTAACCACTGGGTTACCACGGCCCCCAATAACCAAGCTTATTAAGAATAAAAATTATGAAATGAAATAAATATATAAATCAAAATCCAAGGCAAGGGGAAAAAACACTTTTTAAAAACTAGTCTTGTCCTAGTACAGGTTTTTAAAAGTAGTAAATATATTACATATTTTATTAATACTCAATTTGGTTCAATCAAAATCTTGTTTTGCTTGTAAAATAAGCTGAAAGAAATGTTCCAGAACATGTAAATTATTTCAAATTAAAAACCTAATTCTTATCTTAACCCATTGGTGACCAAGCAAACGGGCAAAATTAGGAGAATGTTTTTTCCCAATACACTGATCTCATGCCATCCCTATCTAATAACATGGAAAAACAGTTTTGCTACATGGATAAGACTGAAATTACGACTTTTTAGGGGCAGAACCGTCAGTTGATTAAAATGTGAAGATAAGGGTTAAATTGTTTTTAAAGTAATTACAAACATAGATAAGAAATTGCAGTATTCGTTCTATTGCAGAGTTGTATTTTTGTCCTGTAACTATTTTTTTTTTTTTTAAAATCGTATTGCTCATATCAACAAATTTGTTCTAATTTGTGAAATTTTAAGTTTTTTTTTAATCATTTAGTTGATTTAATTTGTTTATTAAGTGACTGTGCTTCTGCATTTTAAATTTTTTATCAAATGTATTTGTTCTTATTTCTTATACAGAGTGTCTCAAAAATTTTATGGCAAATTTCTATTGAAAGCAAAGATTAAAAATAAGGAATTGTGCAGAATTAAGAATGTAATAGCAACCCATGTCATGAAACTTCATGGAAAAGGCTACCCTTTTCCATGAAGCGCGGCAGAATATTTGAAAGGACAAGAGTATGATTAATTGAAAACCTTCACTGAACATCATGTGAATAAATGGTGTTCAAGTTGAATTGAGCTCATAATGTTGCAATATATGTTTAAAGTTAGCACCATCAAACACTATGCATACCTGGCATGGTCAGAGCATTGATTTCTGAACCAGCTAGTCCAACAGAAAGTGGGACCTATGGCAAATATTATTTGCAGGGGCAGATCAGTTCTGTTTTTCACTTCTTTCAGTTTGTAGTTGTGATGCCACAATGGGCATTACATAACTCCTAGCTTTTAAAATTTCTTTAATTTCTTAATCTTATTTTTTTAATCATTCTTAATCAAATTATAATTAAATTAAATCTGTTAATTTTTATTTAAAGCAAGCATAAAATATTTCATTCTTTTCTGAACGACGGCTAACTTTTTATTTCAATACTAATGTAGACTCATTAATTAATTAATCGAAAACAAAAATTTATTTATAACTTTATTTTTTAATTTCTTACCACAGATATGTTTCAGTTACATGGTTTTACTAATTCTCACAGTCTAGTTGGCAATTCGCCATCGCAAAAGTATTTTCAAAACTAATATTGATTATGGGGGTTGGCTTTATTTTTGGCTATGTTATCTTTCAATAAATCACCAACCTTGGATCTCTTCCATGCTCCTAACTGTCTGCTGGGAACAATTCAATCACTTTTTAATTTGGCTTTTGATTAGGCAGGTCATGGGGGATTTATCTCCCATGGCCTGTCCTTATTATTATTATTAAGCGAAATTTTTTTAGCTTAGAAAGGCTTATGGATAAAATTATAATTTGTATCTCGAGCTCTACAAATGCTACTAAATGAAAGTTTTATTATAATTATGATCCAGTTTTCAATTTCAATTGTCATTTTTCATTGTCCTACTTTTCATCACAATCTTCAATTAGTCAATGATACCATTTAACTGCAGCAACATCCAATTTTATCATTATGATAGCTTTATTATAACAGATTGATGAAAAGCTGTCATAAATAATTTTTGAATGCTCAATAGGAAATTTATTTAAAAAAAAAATTATTATTAAAAACAAGGTTCTTTATTAAGTATTACTGACTGCCCTCTAGTGCTATATAAATACTTGATTCTGGACAAATGTCCTGTTCCTGTTTGCGCTTTCCACATAATAAACTTAATTTTTTAGTTTAGGTCATTTAAATTTAATATTGCAAAGCTCCTTTTTTTCAGGGGCCCTGTTTAAACTAACATATAAATAAATGAAAGAGGTTACACAGGAAGTTACTGTACATATGTTGCCTGAAACTATTTTGCTTTTAGTTTTTTTTTCTTTTATTCATGTAATTTTTCTGAACAATATCACTGAAGAAAGGGACCTAGAGTCATACATGGCACTAAAATTTTAGTCTTTTTAATCAATTATTGTAGAGAAAATATATTTAAGCCTGAGAAAAACTTTTAGTAAAGTACTTGTCTGAAATTAAAGAAAAAACTGACAAAAAAAAGCTCTGAAGTTTGCAATAAAAGGGCAGGGCTTAAGGTGACCATTTTGGTTGCCTAATCCTCAGGTCAGTCCTGATTGCTGGACATGCCCACACATTGGGAGTTTCTTTGCATGCTGCCAAAAGATACATTTCAAACTCCACATGCTTATGATACGTGATAGCTTTTAGTTCTCACTGATATATATGAAGGACTTGGTGCAGTGTAATGATAACTTACATTTTGTAAGTGTTGTTTGGGAAAGTCGTTTTGGTTAAAAATACAATTTCAATGTAGGCAATAAGATGATTGTGCATATCTTGTTGCTTATCACTATCTTGCCTAAAACTTTTAAATCAAGCCTAAATAGGAAAAAAAACCCTCTGGTGGCTACCAATGACATTTTTGGAAATGGGTTGCTATGCAATTCCTGATTCTTATATTGTTCCTTATTTTCCCAAAAACTTTAACATTTTTGAAATACCTTGTATTAATTTAAATCTTATTTATAAATTTGTTTTTCCTTTTTCTTCTATTTTTTTAGATTGCCAATACTCTTACGTTGTTGAGCAACAACCTATTGGTCATCAACTTTTTCGTCAATTTTGTGAAACAAAACCTCATTATAGCAAATGTGTTAATTTTTTAGACATTGTAGTAAGTCTTTAATAATTTTATGATCTACTTTTTTTTATTCTTAATTTTTATTAGGGCTATGATTTTTGAAACCAATTTCATTTTTAGGAACTTTGCTGAAGAAACAAAAATTGTTTCATTCAGACATTTGAAGCATTTTAGCATATGCTTTTCTAAATGACTAATGTCTTTTAGTGTTCGAATAGTTGCAAATAGTTATTTTTTTCTTATGCAAGTTAAGATTGAGACTTGACGATTTGATATGAACGTCATTGATTTAATAAGCAACATGCGTGCTTACTTTTATAGTTACTAGTTATTTTTTAATTTATATTTTAAAATCTCGTCATTAATCTCGTCAAATCTCTCATCTCCGCTGATGGCATCCGTCGACCACTACGTTTTCCATCACATACCGATACAGTAAAAGCAATGTAATGAGCTAAGTAGAACTTTGATAAAAATTCTCAAAAACAGCACAAACACTAACTACTAGTATTGTATTGTGCCACGTTTCAATAGCTCAATATTTGTCATCTTAAATAAAATATTTTTTAGTTTACCAAAAGGAGAAGAAAGAAAAGATTGGTTCGAAGCCGCCAAATATGATGGGAAGAAAATCTCAAACTGTTTGCAACTTTTTTATTATTCTGAATTGAATTTGAAAGTTATAGTTACTTTATTATATTTAAATTTTATAAAATTGTATTGTTTTTGATAAGCTTCTGTGAAAGAATCATTCATTATGTTGAATTAAAATGTTTATGAAATGCTCTTTAGATAATTTCTTTATCATTTTTACTCTTTGAAATGAAAGGATTTTATTCTTTGAGGATGACAGCGTACTCGTTCTTTTCTTCATGAATATTTACTTTTCATTTATCGATTCATTTTATTTTGTTTACTTTAACTTTTGTATCCAAAACGTTGTCACATCCTATGCTTTTTTACAAGAAATTAGCTTAGTTTTCCAAAAAATTGCTATTTCGTCTAGCGGTCACTATATGGACAATGCAAAACTCACGTAACAAGTGTGAAACCATAGTATGGGCCTAGTGATATTTAGTGTGATACCATGATATGGACATTCTTATCTTTTTAGCTTTGTAATTTTCAACTATGTTTCAATTTTCTGTGCTCAAATTTTAAGCAATACTAAAATGAGAACAAAGAGCGCATTCTTATTTGGTAAAACTTCAGGGTATAGTATATTTATTTAAAGTCATATTTTGAATGTAATGATTTTTTTTCTTTTATAGGATGCTTATGAAGTGCAGTTGGATGAAGATAGGGCTGATGTTGCCCAAGAAGTTTTTACCAAATATCTAAGCAAGGAGGTACATTGTGATTGGTCTTTAATATCTCTTGTTGTTTAAATTTTTGGAAAATGTATAACTTTACTTTTTTTCTACAGTCAAGTGAGTTTGTCGATGTTGTCAACGAAGATCTAATTGAAAGATGTCTTTCTAATCTTCAAACTGCAAGTAGAGATTTGTTTACTGAATGTGGAAGGTAAGATATATAATGTAATTGTTTAAGTCTGCTCAAGTCTAAATTTTTTTACCTTTTATTTCTTTAAATTTGTTATGCAAGAGACCTGTGTATGTCAATGAAGTCTGTCTTGTTCAGAAATTGGAATAGTTCTACTGAATAATGTTTCACGAATGGTAAAAAATATGAATCATTCATAAAAATTTTAGATCTCTGTTGTTGGCTTTTTTTTTCCTTTACTCATCTTTGCAAATTTGAAATCTGGATAGCATTCAAGTATTTTTGTGTTAAATTATTTGTAGCAGTATTAACATAGGTTTATTCAATCATTATAGCATCCAACAAATAAAGTATTTATGTAATAAAGGGCTTATAGTTGTCCTGGTTTTCCTGATAAAAGATATGTTGTCCTGATTTTTAGCTTTTCCCCCCTGATGTTCCATGTTTTTTTATGTATATGATCTGAACAACTAATTTTTTAAGGAAACAAATGCAGGTTTTGAAATTATTGATTTAATGAATCAAAAGACTTGTATTTTTGATCTAATATCTCTTATTTTTCTTAATAATGCTAGTCACAAAAGTTTTTTTTAGTTTGTGTGGCATTTTCAAAAGTATTGTATTACCTCAAAAAATCTCCTGATTTTTATTATTATTATTTTTTTAAAAAAAAAGTCTTGATTTTTTTTTCTTTGACCCGCTGTGAGGCCTGTGTAATGTATTTTTACGGCATACTTAATTTTACAGGCAAGTGAAACAAGTTTCAAGGAATCTTAATTTTCTATTATTGAATGTAAAAGGTTTTATTTTCCATAAAAGAAAAATCAGCGATATAGAGGTAAAAACCTGTGTACGAACTTATCACTATTATAAATTGCCTCACCTGATACTTCATTTTTTAAAAAAAAATCCAATTTGCTCACGTAACTGAACTGCTTTGGGTTAATTATACTCTAGATTGCTGTCCAGCTACTTTGTTGTTAATCTACCTTAGATTTTGGTTATCTGTTCAACCAAATATCACTTCTATTTTTCCAAAACATTTTTCTAAGGTAGGTGAAATTTAAAAGTTTGGCTACATCTTTTAGTGTTTTATTAAATCCCACTTCTGATTATTGCACTCTGAAATTTCTGTATCTGCTAATCTATGCCTTATTATTGAAAAATATACCTCACATCTTGTATTTTTGCAAGTAGTAGAATTTTATTTTAATTTTAAATGTTTTTACTTCCTAGTGGTTTTTTAAAAATCTCATTATCTTTGTTTATATTTTTCCAGGTCAGTGAAAGAATTCTTATCTCGGGAGCCATTTAAAGAATTTGAAAACAGCATGTACTTTCATAGATATTTACAATGGAAGTGGTTAGAGCGGTAAGTAGTATTGTAAATAAACTTCCCTGTTCTTATCAGTTCTTAGTTCATTCTGCTCTTAGAGCTGAAGCTACGATTTCCCTCCTCATGACGTCACGCTGCACACAGATCTCGGAGATCGCAAGCACAGATATTAAGAAAACTTTGTATCATTCTCTCTGTAAAAATAAGTTTGACTTTTTCTTGATATTAGCTTTCAAACTTCATGCAATTAATATATTATTTTGTTTCAAAAACATAGTTTTAAAAAATTTTCTTTGCCAAAATATTAAATTAAATATCATTTTAAACTAATAAAAATATTTTACTAGTTGTCGTAAATGACGCTATGAATACTTTATTTTAAAATTTTCAGTTTTAACTTTTATTATTAAAAAAATTTTAATGCATATATCGGCACTTTTTTAGCTGCATATTGTTTGATAACAATAATTTGTAAAGTTAGGTAAAATTTAGAATCTTGATTTTAAAATATGCTGTTTGTGGCAATTTCTTTATACTTAATCTTTAAGAAACAACAACCTTAAACGCTAATTATTCTAACAAAATAATAATTTAGGTTCATAAAATATTAGAAATTTTTCAATTGCTTATAGATATTTAAATTTAAAGAAATATAATTATATTTAAAAAATAATTATATTGTAATTAAAAATAATAAATATTTAGAATAACTACATTGAAAACTATGTTATAAAACTAGGAGAATTTTAACTATTAATTATCTATACTTTTCATTTAAGTTTTTTATTTTCTTTGACTAATTCATTTTTAAATTTTTTCGTAGACCTTTTTTTTTTTTTGAAGTTGCTGGGCGGTTTAAATTTAGATGGCGAATTCTTATAAAATTTCTGAAATGCAAAATAAGCATATTGCTGTCTTATTCACTGTGGGATATCGTCCTTCTAATTCACTAATAAATTCTTTGACACTTTTTGATTTTCTGAGCCATGCACACTTTGAAAAATGTTCTCAAATTCCTGACACACTTTCATCCATGCTGCTTACGGAACAATTAGTTCACCCTTAGATAGGAGAGCACTTGGTAGAGTTAGAGCATTTTTAAAATCATTCTAATCGGCAATCCAAGCCAACAATTTCTCATATCATCTTCATAATCTTGTTTTAAGAAATGCTTAAGGCATATTCGTTTATATTTAATATTAACTGGATCATTTCGTTTGCAATGTTGAAGCCATTCTTTACATAGTTGTTCATTTACTTTAGGGAACATGTAGAAAATGACATTTTTTCCTCTTGTGTTTCTATCAGAATTTTTGTAAGTTGTAATCTCACAAACTGACATTTCATAAATAATTTTAAATTTTTGTAATTCACTTCACAAAACTGAGAAAAATCATTAGGAAACAAAGAATGTCTTGGAATATGTCACAAAAAGGAATGCTACAATATTAGTTAAAGCTAGTAAGACCGGACGCTTTGTTCTTGAAGTGAAAGCTCAAGCTTTGCGCCACCGTGACGTCACAGGCGAAAATCGGAGGTTTGGCGCGGCGAGAGTTTCTTCAAAGGAGTGAACTAGCCCTTCTATTCTCTTTAGCCCTGGTTCTAATACTGATTTTTGTTGAAAATTTAAAAAATTTTCAATGTGATTCATTGTTTGATATATGAAGTGGCGAGGTGTATAATGTAATTTATGCAACTTTGGTAAACGATGAGGACTCATACAGGCAAATATGTTTAATAAATCTTATGTAAAGAACTTAAAGCTTAAATCATAAATCTTACCAATATAGATATAACTTTTACGTAACTGATGTCCTAGTAGCTACTGAAGCACAGGGTAGGGTATAAGAGGATAGCAAAATCATGATTCTTGTTAAATACTTGTGTTAAATCTACTTTGCATTGATATCCATAACTTAAATGGTATCCAAGGAACTTATATTGGCTTAAGAGATGAACAAAAATTGCACTTGCAGCAACTATTGTGTAACAACCTTTTGTTTAGCTGTTTGGTTCAAAACCCTGTATATCTAAATAAAATACTGATTAATTATATCCTTAAAAATTTTCAATTTGTAATTTTTTTTAATTTTAGAAAAGGAAAATGCAAAACAAAAGTTTTGAAATTTATTTCTATTTATGAGTAATTTTATCATTTTTCCTATCCCTATTTTTATTTCTATTAGTATTATGAATTTTATTATTTTTATTAATCTTATTGCTATTATTTAAAATTTACTTCAAAATCAGCATCAATCAAATTGTTAGAAATTTTGTATGGAAGTTTAATCTTTTTGTTTGATTTCTTTTATACTAGTTATCAGGTAGTTTTGTCTGTGATGTCCAATGTATTGCTCTCTTTTGGCCTTGGCAAAAATTGGTGCTTCTTCACCATTTGTTAATATCTGCAAGCATCCTCTTAGCATGAAGAATTTGCACAACAATTCAGTTGCATGGTACAACATAATAAATTAGTTCCTTGTGTTGTACCTTAAAGTGATTAAAACTAAAATAAACTGAGAACAAAATTACAGTTGATATCAAAATTGAAACAGGGAACAAAATTATAATTGATATCAGAATTGAATCAAGGAATAATTTGAAATTGGGCACACAAAAAAAATATTTAGTCAATTTAATTTTTATATGATTTTGGGTTTACTTAAAAGTTCTAAAGATTCAAATTCATTAACTTTTGTGTAAACTGGAAATTTCAATATGTACGCATGAATTAAGAATATCTTTTTCATTTTATGTAATTAATTAGTTAGCAGATATTTTCTAATTTTTATATTTTTTATTTTCAGTAATTAAAGTCCCTGTTTTTTAGAAAAATGTGTCATCTTAAACTAGCTATCAAATTTACTATTTGTTTCTGACTTAATTAAATAATATATCATTTTTTTTTTTACAGGCAGCCAGTTACTGCAAAAACTTTCAGAATGTATAGGGTTTTGGGAAAAGGTGGTTTTGGCGAAGTGTGTGCTTGCCAAGTTAGAGCTACAGGAAAAATGTATGCTTGTAAAAAGCTGGAGAAAAAGAGAATAAAAAAAAGAAAAGGAGAGTCAATGGTACTCATTGAAAAAAATATTCTTCAGAAAATTAATTCGAGATTTGTAGTAAGTTATTTTATAATTTTTATATTAATTATTCTTCAAAAATTTGTATTTAATAATATGTTAAAAATTACAACGGTCATAGTTTTTCATAAACTAAAGTACTTTGGTTTTAAGCTATAAGTTTTCAAAAAATGATGAGATTTCAAAATGATGCTTTGTAGTTACTATACTATAATTTATTTTAAAACAAGAATTAATATTTTTTTTCAGGTTAGTCTGGCATATGCATATGAGACCAAAGATGCATTGTGTTTAGTTTTAACAATTATGAATGGGGGAGATTTAAAGTTTCACATCTATAATATGGGTGGTGAGCCAGGTTTTGATTTAGTGCGAGCAAGATTTTATGCAGCTGAAGTTACACAAGGCTTAGAACATTTGCATGCTCAAGGAATAGTTTATCGGTAATGTGAATTTTTTAAAAATTATTCTTACTCTAGTTGTCTTAAATATTTAAAATGTTATATCTGGTCTAACTCCTGAAGGTTTGAACACCTGAATATTTTGTCGTATTCATAAAAATAAATTTCTGTTTGTTAATATTAAATAAATATTTATTGTAACTCTCTGAACAATAGGCTCTCGCTGAACTTAAAGCTGATGGTTTCTGTGCATCAAAAAACTATTTGTTTCCTGTTATTCAATTCAAAAATAGTGTGTAGCATAAAATGTTTTCTGCAATGTTGCTGAGGAGGTCAACACTGTGAGAATTTGTTTAATGGACATTTAAAAATTAATTTACATTTACGTTTAAAATACTCAATCACTAATTTTCGAAAAGTTTAACACTTTTTTGAAGCAATAGCAACAAGATTTTACACTGACATTTAATATTTTTTCTTTGTCCAATTTTAATAATATGCTGTGATTATTCTGCTATGCATGAGACTTTCAAAAATTAAAGCACATTTTTTCTGTATGATGCTATAAAAAAAATTAAAAAAAAAGAGTTCAAGTTCAATTAAACCATATTGTTAATCCAGAAGTAGATGTTGCTTTGTACAAATGATTTATTAAGAAAAGAAAAGGAGTGTTGCTGTTATGTAAATGAATTTTAAAATAAAACTTCTTACCCATTGGATTAAATGGTCATTAAATTTAAATTATTTAAAGAAGCTCAATTTTTAGAGTTTATTGATGAAAATAGATTTAAAATTTTTTTTTTTTAACACTACAATCTTAATATTTCACTTATCCAAAGTAGATCTGGTCTCAATTACTTTGACAATCAAGAGGTTCTTCTGTAATTTTTAAATTTGAGTGAAAAAAAATATTTTTGATATTTCACTCTTAAGCCTGAGAGGGTGATGTCTGAGAAATTATTATTTTTTTTTCTTTCAAATATTTATTTTAGTTAAAATTAAAGCACCATTTTCTGATATTTTAAAAGTTGGCAGAACATGCAAGTATTTTGAAGTTTTCTAGATTTAAAGTTATTCAGTGTGATTTTTTTTCAGGCTGTACGCTGCAAAAGAATGAAAAAAGTTTTGGTAACATTTTTTAGCCCAAACGTTTTATTACTGTAATTTTTAAAAGTTCTATTTTAATATTAGTTTTCAGTTTCCTTTTCTTTGTCCTTGCCTTTAATGCCATTAATAGTTTTAGATTTTAAATTCATTTGACCTTTTTACCACTTCTTTAAACTTTTCTCTTTCCCACTAATATATGCATTTAAAGATAGAAAGGATCACATTGTTTATTTATTAATTAAAGCTATAAAGTTGAAATAAATTGTTTTTGAAGGAAAAACAGAAAAATAGTGTAAAATGGATGAGTTTTTGGGTAAAACTGAAATATATCAGCATGTTTACTTATTGATAAAGTAATTCTAAATTATTAAGCTTCTAATCTTCAATGTTCTATCATTGACATTGATTTGATGAGCTGTAATTAAATAGGGATCTAAGTCAGGGTATCTTGTTGACAACTTTTTAGAACATGCCCATGTGCTAAAGCTCATTTAACATTATATACACTGAACTCCCATTAGTCTTGAATATAGATAATTCGAAAAATTGGATAATTCAAGCTGCTTTAGTTATTTTGTAATTAGTTTTTAGTTATTTTGAAGCTTGATGCTCGGGAGAGTTAAAGAATATTCTTATCTTTGAAAATTTATTATTATATAGGAGCTAAGATAAAAACTTTGAGTAAAAAGGTCTGCAAGGTATTCACTTTCAACAATAGAAAATGCATTGCCACTTTCACTGTGTACTCCTTTCTCATGCAGTTGCAACACTCATTTTCACTTATTCAGGGATAATTAATTTTTCAAGGAGATACTTTGAATAATTTACTGGTAGGATTGTTGCTAACTATGATGCATCCAATGACAGCAGATCATATCAATCTGTGTTTTCGTAGGATTATCTCAGAGATTGATATGGTCTGCTGTCATGGGATGCATCATAGTTTTTCATTACTTAGTTCTCAAAACTGGGAAGCATACAAAAATAAATTGCTTGATGTTAGGAAATATAATAAAAATTCTGGATAGTGGCATGAAGAAGAAAAGTAAAAACTTAAAAAATATGGGACGTTAATTAATGTATTGTTGCATTAATTGCGTATACGTATGTAACATATTTATAAAATCCTGCCCCGGTAACTTATTTATTAAATCCTACCACAAGATTAGGTAGATTTTAAGATCAGTTTAATTTTTTTTTAAATGTTAGTAAATTTGTTGTTTTTTTGTTTCCCTTCTGTATTTTCATCTATAAATTAACATTAGGTACCTTCATGAAATTTATAGATGTATGAATAATAAACTTTTGAATATATAGGTAAATAATAAATTTTTGAAGGAATAGTATTTATAATAATAATCATTGTACACAATCAAAAATACCTATTCTAAATAGCTCACAGGCTCTTATTTTATTTAAGTTTGTACAGTTCACGTCATGTAGCTTATATGGTTATAATTTAGCAAGAGTTGGCTTTTTCTTTATTTAGTACAGTCTTGTGTTAATTAATTATTCCAAAGTTACTTACCGAAAGTATGCAGCTACACAAAAGTTGAATTTTTTTTGTTGTTGAAGAAATTGATTTATAATTTACTTATTAAAAAAAAAGTCTGGTAAAAAAAATTGGATACTAATATTTTTATAGCAAAATAGTTATGTAACACATCCAAATTCTTTATTGTAAATTTAATTTTCCTTGATAAATTTATATAATACAGTGACTGATGATTGTTTAATATTAAAGCTGATAGGTTTGCTAAGGTTTTGAAATTACTTTCGAAAAAAGGAATTATAGACACAAATAATCATAGTTTTGATTGTGTATGTATTCATTTATAAATATTGTGATTGTAATATCAAAGATAGGGTACAAAAAATAATACTAAATAGTAGTTTCTTATTTTTGTTCTTTAAATAAATATTTTATTAATATTTAATATTTATGTGTTTTTAGAGATTTGAAACCAGAAAATATCCTTTTAGATGATCATGGTATGTTTAAATTTTAATTTTTACCTAAATACTATGTGCATAATTTAAAGATTATAGCATCCAATAAGCTATTAAAATAGATACGTTACAATTAAAATTGCTTTAAATGTGAAAAATTAAGTTTTTTTTGATGAAGACTTTTACATTTAAAATTTTACAAAAATTAAAAATTCTTTGGGTAAGTAAATGAAAATTTTAGGTAAGTAAATGAAAATTTTAATGTGTAATTTCACAAGGCTCCTTTTTTAGATTTTTTTCCTCAACATAACTGTTTCATAAATTATTCATAATGTTAACAACTCCTTAAAAAATGTGTCTTCCCTATTACAAAAATAAAGTTTTACTCCAAAAAGCTTACAATCTAATCAAGGGTCCATTTCGAGTAAAAAGAAAATTGTCTGTTATAAATTAATCCTTTTAAATGGCTTTGACATGTTAGTCAGTCTAAAATATGCAATAATATGAGTGTGTAGGAATTTTTTATATTTATTTTTCGGAGTTAAGCTCATTTTGTAAAGAAAGGCTGATTTTGTAAAGAAAGGAGGGTGGTCATAGAACTTTTGAATTTATAACTTGAAAATAATAACTCAATAATTCATCTAAATGCTACTTCCATTTTTTACCTAAATCCATTGCCTTTTATCTTTTGCCTGGTCTAAGTATCTTTTGTAACTGTTTCCCCTCCCTACGTTAACACAAATAATATACCATTTGCTAACATAAAGCCAAAGTTTAATAAGGAAGAATTATTTATACTTTATTACAACAATCTTTAACACAAAAGATAAAAAGGTGGCTACATTTTACCAACATGTGTTTGTCAGAGGAAAATTTTCTAAATTTTTTTCAGATTAAATATTATTGTTTCATTCCCTGATAGAAACTCTTGGATTATTCAAAAGGAAAAAAAAAATATTTTTGATGTCGTTTCTTTTCTGCATAATAATAGTAAATTATGAGTCATTAATAGAGGAAATATGAAGTATAGAATTTGTTTGCTCTGTGAAACCACTAATTTTGATGTTTGCATTTTACTCTTCTTTTTTTTCTTTCCTCCTAGCACTTTATTTTTGCTCTTTAGGCTGGTATTTCAAATTGAATTTTTAGAATTGGGAGATTCTTTTAGGTAAATTTTCTAAGTGTACAAATATTATTCTATGATCATAAGTATTTAAAATACATTGCTACTATCATGAAATAGTACAATAACTAACCTCACGTTTCATTTTGTTTGTTAAAAGATTGAACAGCATGACTTAATAATAATTTCAAAATAATGATGGTAGCTTTAGCCAAATCATAAAGCTCATCTATAAATTATGCAAGTATGTAGTTTTCGTATTCATTCACTCTTATGAATAATAGTATTGAGATTCTAATTCACATTGCAATAACATTGTAGGCGTCATACAAAGAGTAAAATTTGGCCAATTGCCATTGTAGCAGATTCTTAGTTTTGGCATGGTGCCAAAAATGTTGTTTCTGGTCACTCTAAAAACTAGTTTTTTTTTTTCTATGTTAACATTTTTAAAAACTTCACATGCCACTTTTATCCACTGTTCTCTTCACTAAGAAATTAGTGGTTTTATACTTTGTAAAATTATTTTAATAAATGTGAGACTTATGTGTGTAAAGATATATATATATATATATATACAGTACAGAACCCGTTATCCGGAAATCAGAAAACCGGAAAACCAAAAAACCGGNAAGCAGTAAACATTTATACAGAAAAGTACCAAAATGCGTCGAAATTTCCAAAATTAGATGCCGATGAGGCGGCAGAAGATATTAATCTGTAATTCTAAAAAAAATTATAGTTAATGTTCTTAAAACATTGCAACTTTTAAGTGCTACCTCAAACCGATCAACTAAATCTGTGGTTATGTATTAATTTCTGCATTTTAATAATTTTTAGTCCAATTTTTGGAACTTTCGACCCACTGAGGCAACAGAAGATATCAACCCAGAGTTTTAAGATTCATCTCATTTTTTAATAATAGGAATTCACATCTTTTCCTCACTACCGCAAAAAGATCAGAGAGAATTCAATATCCCCTAATATATATATATATATATCTATATATATACAGACATACATATATATATATATAATATACATTTATTTTAGGCCATGTCCGAATATCAGATCTTGGACTAGCTACTGAAATATCAGATGGAGAAATGGTCAGAGGTAGAGTTGGTACTGTTGGTTATATGGGTATGTATGCTGATATTTTAGTATGTCCTATTCATTAAATGTCAATTTCTGTCAAATGTTTGACTGCCATGGCAAAAAGACATTTGCCAGCGTATTTCTACACTTGAAAATCAATGGAAAGTCATGACTTTTAGTCAAAAATTGGAAAATTGACAATTTGTCGTGGAATTTTACTTTTGGAACCAGCATACCTGGTTAAATTGTTTTTCTACTTTTTTCCATACAAAATGGTATTGTTATTCCTCCTATCACTTATTTATTTGACCCAGTTACCAAGAGTAAAAAAAATTCGCTTGAGGCTTAGTAGATGATGAGATAAATCTGATACATGTCAGCTTACAGTTATGAATTTAGGTTTATCCTGTCATTTGTAAAATGTTACTGTTTTAAATCATTTGGAGAGAGCTGGCTTGCTCGAGCTGTGTGAAACTGCATAAAAACTCATTTTGTAGAACAAAAGGAAATCAACACTGAGGTGTCCAACTGTACTATTTTTTCCAAATGAATTTTTCTCAAAACTCTTTTTTGCTTCTAATTTGATAATATTTACTCTGTTGTCTTCTTGACAGTGTCTTCTTGACTTTTTTAAGTAGCAATGTCAGGGATGTGATTCTTCCGCGGATTTCCGCTTTCTTTCAGATTTTTCCATTTTCCCTGCTAATTTCTGCGAAAAAAACTTTTTTTTTAACATGTCAAAATATTTTATGAGGAATTTTAATTTCCGCAGAGCGGAAGTATTGAAGTCCTCATTCCTCCGCCTGAAATTTTTCTAAAAATCATTTCCTTGGGTTAAAACTGGTTGACCTTTGTACAGGGATGAGATTTTTCGCTTTTGCTTCTCGAATTTCAACCTTTTTATCAAAAACTCCGATTCTCTAAAAGTTTCATTTTTTATATATATATATAAATATCCCGTTTTTTTTTTTTTTTTTTTTTTTTTTTTTTTTTTTTTTTTTTGGAAATACAGTTGTTGAAATAAAATAATTATATTTATTTACGATTTTCAAAGATAAACAGAAAATTCAAACTACGTCCTAGCTGCAAACTTTTCCGTATTTTTACTTATTTTAGCTATTTTCTCCGCTTTTACTCGCAGAAAATAAGATTTTCCGTATTTTTATTCGTCCGCCGGATAGCTCGTATTTTCGCAATTTAGACGTCGTGACCCTGTTGTCTGACGTGAAAGCAAATGGAAAAAAATAGAGGTGAATTTGCTGTGAAAATATTTATTTGCTTATTCAATTAATCTTGTAAATTTTTATTTATTATGTCTAAACAAAAACAATACAAACAAGCCTTTTAGAAATCACTAGTTCAGACTCTACAAATATCTCGATTCTTATTCACGCGATTTTAATATCAATCATCGATTTTCGTATTTACCTGATTTAAAAGTTGCGCATTGCAATTCCTTTTTACGCTGTTTAAACATTGTACATTATGATTCTTATTTACGAGATTTAAAAATCCAATATCCCGTTTTGCATATATGTATTTTTAAAATCGCGATTTTATTATCAAACATCGATTTTCGTATTTACCTGATTTTTTAAAGTTGAACGTTGCGATTCTTATTCAGGCGAGATAAATATCGTACATTGCTGTTTTTATTTACGAGATTTAAAAATCCAATATTGCGATTTGTATTTACGCGCTTTTAAAACACTATGTAGCAATTCGTATTCACGCGAACTTAAAATCCAATGTCGTGGTTCGTTTTTGTGGTTGTAATATCAAACATCGATTTTCGTACTTATACATGCTTTCAAAGTTAGACAATGTGATTTGTATTCACGCGATTTAAAAATTATGCATCGTGATTCGTATTTACGTGATCTAAAAATTACGCATCATGATTTGTATTTTCACATTTTTTAAAATTTGATATAGAGTTTCATATTCACGTAATTTAAAAGCCTCATATCGGGATTCATATTCTCTCAATTTAAAATCGTGTACGTGATTCATATTTATATATTCATACAATTTTAAAATTAATCATCGGGATTTATAATCACATGGCCTACAAGTTTAAAAATTGCACTTTTTTGTCAAATTTCTGTATATATATATATTCATGGATATCCTCCTTTTTTACTTTCTGACTACTCTCATCCCTGCAAAGTTAACAGCTAAATGATATTATAACCAAAATATAATGACTCTTTTTTGTTTATATTTAAAATGAAACAGTTGATAGCCTCCACCCTTTGTGCATTGTCTATTTAGGGACTGTCTACTAACTTATAATTTACTTTAATTTAACCAAATTGTGCTATTATATTTTGTCTCAGAAATTTTAAGACTGTTTTTAGTTATTCCATGCATAATTTTAGAATTAATTTAAAAAGTTAGTAATCATTCAATTGAGGTGGCATCTACTAATTTTTATTTGGACATAAGGAAACTTATGATTTGTTTTGTTTTTATTTTATCTTATATCCTTCCTCTAATCAGCTAAAAAGATTTTATAGCCTGAAATGTTTTCTCATTTTAATTACCCCCCCCCCATTCTCTACTAATAAATATGTTTTGTTTATTTACTTTAATTTGCGATGAATAAGTTTATTCTTAAAGTTTAATCTTATTTATGTTATAAAAAGAAAATCTAACATTTATTTATTTTAATTTGTCTGAATTGCTTACCACTTACAAAATAATCTTGAAATAAAACTTTTTTTAAAAAAAATAAAATTTTTTGAAGCTAATAACTATGCATATTACCAAAATTTGGTTCAATTGTTAATCCAATTCAATCTGCCAGGTGCTATATTATAGGTGCTAAAACTCAACAGTGATTTACCCATTCACCATATCAGGTTAATTGAAACAGTAGCTGATATGAAAATAGTGGGAAGATCCTTCATTGTGACAGTAAAAAACAAATAAAATCTAAATGAAGTTTCTATATTTGCTGACCAATAGCACAAGGAAATTAGGAATACAGCATAGGTTACCTCAAAATGTTATTTGAATCATTTATTGTTGCAGCTCCTGAAATTTGTCTTGTAAAATTAACTAGCTTTGGTATTCTCAAAAAGATTTTAATACCTAGAGTTTTCAAAAAAGAAAAGTAATCATTTCAACTAATCTCTATAATACTTTGTTAATTTGAGTTCTCAAATTGGTACATTTTTGGACCATTGAACTTTAATGTGTATGACTTTAAACTCACTCTATATAAATGAAAGCACACCATTAGGCTAATAACTCTACTTTTTGCATATTTGATATTTTACCACCTAATGATGTATGGGATAATTTGTGCCTAATTTATATCCATCCTTTTTTAAAAAATCTCTTTGTAGTTCAAAATTATCTGAATTTGCTATTCCCAATACAAAAACCTTCTTACTTAAGCTTTTAATTTTAAAACAGTTTATAACAGCTTATAAACAGTGTAACTTGATAATTCTATGAAATTTTATTTTTTAGCTCCCGAAGTTATAGACAATGAAAAATACACATTTAGTCCAGATTGGTTTAGTCTTGGTTGCTTCATTTATGAAATGATTGAAGGACAAGTAAATTAATTTGTTCAATTTATTTCTTGTTTTGTAAATGATTTTATTGATTTTAACACTGAACTTTTACTTTAGGCACCTTTCCGTGCTAGAAAAGAAAAAGTAAAAAGAGAAGAAGTTGAAAGGAGGGTAAAGGAAGATAAAGAACGATATTCCACAAAATTTAATGATGATGCGAAATCCTTATGCCAAGAGGTAGGGTGTATACAAATTATTTCTGAGTACTAAGTTGGTTTTTTTGCTTGTTTCCTGAAGCATTGTTTTAAAATTTGCACTAATAAATATTTCATAAAAACAAATTAAAATGTAACTACCTAATAAACTTACGTCATTTTTTTTTGAAACATGGCTGCTTTTTACTTTAAAATTTTCAAATATTTTTAAGTTAAACTTTATAAATATGCTTATAATATACATTCAATGAATTATTATATATAACTCATTACAAACTCATTAAATAAACTTGTTTTGACAAGTTTATTTAATGAGTTTGAGAAACTGAATCTTAAAAATTGGTACTTTGTTGTTAATAAAAGTAGAATTTTTATTGATTCATTATTGTATAAAAGTTAAGTTTTAAAATATATGCTATCTGTGAAGGATTCAAATGCTATTGATGAATTAAGTTACAAAATTAAGCACGAAGAATATGCATTTCTCAAAAGATAACAGGTATTTAACAGCTTTTAGGGGTTTCACACCTATGCCAAGTGTACCTATCTGCCAAATTAAGAATGATGCAAACTAATACAAATGAATTATTCTGGCCCTTTTTGAGCTAAAACACAAATCTGACTTCCAGCAGGAAATTTCAAAAAATGAGTTCTAAATTTCTTTTTGTGAGATTGTTTCATTTTTCTTTCCAATACAGAACATTTTCTTTCAGCGAAACGTTTTCATATTTTTCACTAAATCTTGTTATTGAGACATTTATACCTCCATTGCTAGCAACAGCCTTTTTTCTTTTCTGAGTTCCTGTTCATGTGTAAAACTACTTTTTTTTTTTTTTTTTNTTACTTTTTTTTTTTTTTTTTGCACAGATTTATAAGAAAAACAAAACGTCACTTTGAGCTAATTTCAAATTACTATGGTGAAAACAAAAGTGTAAAATTGATATTGTTAAAAATTAATTTGAAATTGCAAACATTTAAGAGATTGTTCACTCAGAAAATGGCATTTTTATTTATTTAATTTTTTTTAAGAAAAAAAAGCTTATATGAAGTAATAAGGCTGATTGATTTTTTAGCAGTTTATTGCTACTGATTTTCGTTTAATTTTTGAAATCCTGATATTTTAATACAATATTATTTGTTAACATGCGAATCTCAAAACATGCATTGGAGTAACCTTGCGTAATTTTGTCTTAAATCTGTTTTTTTTTTTTTTTTTTTTTTTTTTTTTTTTTTTTGCAGTTATTGCTACGGATTTCATGGTTTTTAAAATTGCTTTCTTATTTATTTATTTATTTTCTCAGTGCAAAAATGTGATGGTGACTCATAGAATGCGAAAAAGGGAAGAATATATATGTATATATATATAATTATTTCTTCTTTTTTTTGTTGAAAATATAGGAAAATTGTATAGATAATTTTTTATGTGTTCATGAAAAAAAAAGTTTACTTTTCACCCTTTATATTTTATAAATGCTACTCTTGTATATAAAAATGATAATTTATTTAATATTTTTCATTCAATGGAACAAAAATACTATTCAGAGTAGAGAAAAAAATCATATTACAGTAGGGAACCGATTATCCGGAACGATCTGGACCATCGCTATTCCGGATAACTGATTTCTCCGGTTTTCTGAATTGAAACAAAAAGGCGTTTTTTTTATTGTTAAACCCAACAAAAAAAAATATTAGGAAATAATCTTAATAAGAAGAAAAAATGATGAAGTAATACAGTAATGATTATTTCTAAAATGATGGTATGTAAGCATCTTTCAAAAAAGAAAGAAAAATCCTATAATCTTATGAGGAAAAAAAAACAAATTTTTTAAAAATGGTGGGAAAATTTACCGAATTTCGTTCCGGTTTCTTGGTTTTCCAGTTTTCTAATTTCCGGATAACTGGTTCTGTACTGTATAAGGTTTTGAAGAAAATTCAGAGCGTCTTCTTCCAGCAATCATATGTCCGTAAAATGTGCTTATAATTATATTTTAAGTATCTGTTTCATTAAATTAATAAACATAGATTTGTTGGATAAAATTTTCCTGGGCAAAGAAAATAATTACTATTGCGCTTTCTTTTTTTTTATCTTGTTAAATTTGTTTGACTTTCAAAAGAAATGTTCCACTTACCAATGTATTTGTGACAGCCTGTTACAAAAGTTATTTTTTTTACCTACAGAACTTGCTTCTTACTTGATACAAACTGAGTTTTTCTAATAAAAAAATGTTTTTACCTGATACAAGTACGTTGTCTGATTGCAACTAGATTGGGGTTATGTGCTCGGACATAGAAGAGGGTGGCCCGATTAAAATTTGTAAAGGAGCACAAAGCATGGACAATTAAGAATTGGAAGGTCTTTTGGAGTGATTTAAGATGTATGGAAATAATGACTGACATTATATTTATCCTCCAAAGGCATCAGAATAGGTCCCCATGCCAACAGGCAACTGTGAAGCAAAGGCAGATCAGATTGATACTTCTAGAAGCTTTCCATCAGATTTAAGTTTTTCCCCTTGTATATGTCGATTGGATTATGAATCAACATGTTTATAAAAATATTTTAGAAGTTCATGTCCTACCTTATGCTTGTAAAAAATGCTTTGTGGATGTTTCAGCAGGATAATGGTCTTAAGCATACCTCCAAAATTGTGAAAAGTTTGCTTACGGCTAAAAATGATAAACTTTGAACTGGCTTAGTCAATCACCTGACCTAAAAATTTTTGTTAATTCATTGGAAGAAAAGTCAGAGCACTTCAAGGGCGGATTTCTTTCAGAATCCTCAGTCTGAATAGGCGAAAATCCCCATGTTTGCTATAGAAGGCCTCTTTTATTCCATACCCAGATATTGTGCCACAGTCTTCAAAGAAAAAGGTTAAAAGGCTATGCTATGAAGTGTCAAAAAAAAATATATATATATATATATATATCTGCATNGAAAAATATTTATATATATATATATATATATTTGGTGTTAGTTAAATTAAAATTTTAAGTCTATTATTAGTTCCTGTCCATGAAAGATGACTAATGCTTCAAATTACTATTTTACATCATTAAGAAATTTTACTTTGAGAAAAATAAGTCTCTACGTGATAATGACTATATTTGGTTCCACAATAAAAGTCCTAATTGGTATTATTTGGAAGTGGACTAATATTAATTTAATGTAAGCTGTATTTTAAGATAAATTTGCTTTTCAAATGAAGAAAAAGGTTTGGAAATCTATTATAATTTCTATATTTGGCAGCTTGTGATTCTGACCCAATCTACTTATATAACCTCCTCTTATCATTTTGTTCCTCTTACGTTGCCGGTTAAACCACATTTTTACTAATTGCAAGGTGTTCGTGTTGTTACTTTCTACAGTCATTTGTGTTTTAACTATGAGGAAAGTTCTTATTTATAGAATCTAAATTATAATTTATCCATTTTTATGCCTTTATTTGTGCTTTATTCTTGTTGTTTCGCTTTAGATAGAGTATAATATTTTAACAAATGTTGTAATATGTGTTACTATTGCTTTTAAAAATGTTACTCAAATTTGTGAATTGTGCTTGTATTGTTAGTTGCTGAAAAAAACAGTTAAAGAAAGGCTTGGTAGTAATAAAGGAAGATATGGCGCTCTAGAAGTTAAGATCCATCCATTTTTTAAAAGTATCAATTGGAAAAGATTAGAAGCTGGTATTTTACAACCTCCTTTTGTGCCTGATGTAAGTATTTCTGCCTTACTTCATATTTTGACTTTTGCTTCATATTTTTATGAAGTTAGGAATATTCCTGTTGTAGATATTTTGATGTATACTTGATGTTACTTTCTTTATTCCAGTTTATTTCATAATATCATATAGAAATGCAAAGCATTTATTTTAGAAATGATAATTTTTAGAAATGGGATTATCTACTTTTATGCGTTAATTTGGGCTGCATTGATGGTTTCTTGACAGTAGTTTGGCAAAAACTATCTGGAATTCTGTCGCTATATTCTATTCTAAAGCACTTTATTTTTTTTTATTATTATTCAGGAAACTGCAGAAAAATTTTCACTAAAAAGTGAAAAAAATAAATTTTAGGGGAAAAAAATGTCCCCTCAACTGAACTATTCAAGTTTGGAAAGAGTTAAAATTTAAAACAATCGAAACTAAAAACAGTATTAAATTCTAAATTGCATAGAAAAATTATCAAAATGTAAATTATATTAATCAGTGGAGTCAATTGTTGGATTGGAATCAATTCATCAATATTTTTTAATTAATTACTCAACAAAACCCATTGAAAAATTGTTTGCTCTGTGCCACACATCAATATTTTTTAATTAAAGTTTTAATAACACATATTTATATTAAAATTATGTTGAAAAGTTACGCTGAACATATTATTAAATGTAGTATCATATGAAATTGATGTTTTATGTTTTATTTGCATTTTTTTTTTAGTGGTTCAAAATTAATGTGTCTGATTTTAATTCTAGCCACATGCGGTATATGCTAAAGATGTTTTGGATATTGAGCAATTTTCTACAGTGAAAGGTGTTAATATAGATGCTAGTGATGATACATTTTATAGCAAGTTTAACATGGGAAGCATATCAATACCATGGCAACATGAAGTATGTTTTTGTTTTGTAGAAATTTTTCTAAGTGATTTATTTGAATTTAAAAAAATTTCAGCTCATTTGAAAATAAAAGAAATGATATCTAAGTAATCTGTATGTTATTTAAGCATTTCCATACAAAGAGTTTTTGTCTATTAATAAATGAATGTTAGTGTAATTATTTTATCAGTTTTAAATTATATTTCTTAAACAATAAATAGTGCACTAAATGGCATGTTTACAGATATGCACAATAAATTTTACCTAGTTCCTGCTAAACAATGCACCAATGGGTAATGTCATAATTTCGTATCATAAATCATACCTCTTTTATCTAAAAGTTCTGAGAGAGAGGTTTTTTTTCTAATTTGTTCAATTAATAAAAGTTTAATATTTTGTTCTGTGTGTTAAAAATTATTTGAATAATTCTATTAAGTTGTTTGTTGTAAACCATCTGACATTTTTCACTTTACTATGATATACACACAATGATAAAATAAACAAAATAAAAGTGATTGCAAGAAGTTCTTTTTCAGCCAAGTTAAGATTGAACTTGGTACGCTTTTTTTTCCATAGACCTAAATCAAAGCTACGAAAAATATTTAATCAATCGTTTAATTTGGCATAATTTACTACTGTGGTTTTGTGCAATCTGTAAATCAATTGAGGAATTATGCTGACTTCTTTTAATCTATGCCTCTAAATTTTATATTCTGATGGAAATTTCTTCTTTAGATGATTGAAACAGAATGTTATTCTGAATTAAATATTTATGGCCCTGATGGTGGTCCTAGCCCTGATTTAATGTTGGATCAGCCTCCACCTGTAGAGCCTACTGGCTGTTTTCCTTTTCGGAAAAAAACAAAAAATTGGTAAGTGATTATTCAAAAATAAGAATTTACTTCCTTTCTAAGAAACTGTACCTAAAAGTAGTGTTTATAAATTAAGAATACTGATTTAATACTTTTAAACTGGTGACAAAATGAAGTTTGCAAAAAAGTGAAATCTCAAAAACCTTAAATCTTCCAAAAAAATACATTAATTAATCGATCAACCTTTTGCTGTGTTTTTACAGCTAATATCAAAATTTAATTTTTTGAAATCTTATGAAAATTTGAAATAAAATGATAAAAACATTTATTTATTTTCCCTTGTGTAATTCTTGACTAAGTTATCCATTCTACTTAGTTTATATTACAATTATAATCTGTTTATATTACCATTAACTACTGTCTAGTGTTTCTTGAAAACAAAGAAGGGGAGAAATAAAGAGATTTTAATAAGCATTGTGCTTTTAAAAAAAGACCTCTCAATTGATCATATCTTTTATGTTCCTGAAATGTTAGTAAACCATCGGAATGTTAACTAAAATTTTCACGAACATAATAGAAAACACACTAACTTTTATGAGCGTTTGGTTTATTTAATCGTGTTATTTAATAGTTATTTAATTGGTTTATTTAATAGTGTTAGGTAAAATAACAATCATGTGTCAAATCCAAGAATCAGACATGAAAACTTAAATTGGTATGCATATTATATTCAATTTATATTTTGTTAGTATTTTAGGTTAATGTAGCATTTTTTACTGTGATAAGTAATTTAAGAAATTTTTTTTAATCATTATCTCGATAAAAAAAACGAAGAAAAATTAACATATAAGAGCTTGTCTCCAGATTTACGATACAGTTGTATTACATGCCTTGATTTTCTTAGGTTATGGATTAAAATCCGGGTTCAAGTAAAATAAATGAATAACTAATGGTTAAGAATCACTGTTTTAATCTTTTGGTATGCTTGTGCAATTTTATGTATGTTAAACAAGGTTTGAATGCTATATAAATTTTTATTGTAACAAAAATAGCCATATTTAAATGCGTTAAGCTTTTCGTTGTGTAAAATACAAGAATCAATTCAATATTACTCAAGACTAGGACTGGGCGATATTAATTTACTTTATATCTGATTTTTTTTTATTTGTAAGAGATATAATTATCTTTTAAGTCTATTACTTGAAATGCTTGTAATATTTATTTTCTCATATTTTAAATTTTTTGCTTAAAAATCTCCTTGATTTTCTTACTACGGTTGACAAGCAATTATCCAGATTGTTGGGGACCATCTCTATCCCTTATGTCTAAATTACCCAGTTTTCTGTATTGTTAAAAAATGATTCAATGCAGCTTAACTATATTCCTACTTTAATACTGAATAGAAGTGAATGGCCGTATTTTGGTAGTTTTAGTATTCTAATTAATAATTTGTATTTTCACTTCACTCTTATATTTATATAGTACAGCATAGTAATATATTTTAAATTTTCCTACCACCTCCTGTTTGCTATTTCCCTTGCATAAATCAAAGTGAAAAACGAAATAATTTGTCTCATCTGATTTCATTTACAAGATTATTTTGTTTTCTAAAATAATAAAAAGGTCAAAATTTCTTCATTCTAACCTGCAATCAATCTGGCAGAGACTGAGTTTAGAATTTCTTCCTCTGCTTCACACAGTTACACTTTTCCTGCAATTACATCATTCCATTTGACTTTCAGGCATCAAGAATCTTGATGGCATTCAGTTTGCAAACTTGTTGTTAGGGTTGCAATGGGATTTTAAGCATAAGGTTTTGGTGCATTTTGTTAAACCTTAGTTTAAATATTTTATGAAATAAAAATTAAAACACTTTTTTTAACGAACGCACCTTTCTATCTACTCAGATTCAAGGATGACTTGTTCATTCTAGTACGTAATGGCGGGAAAGCGAGCAAAGTTTTTCCCAGTTTTCTGGTAACTGGATAAAAATTTTAATACTATATTCCTACTTAATAATTGATTAAAAAATAGCTGTTCTTTAGCTATTTCTGTATTCTAATAAAAATTTATATTTCCACTTCACTTTTTTTTCATCATTATATTTACGTAGTAAAGTATGACATATTTCTTTCATTAGCTTTCCACTGTTCACTGATAAACACGACTAATGCATTTTCCCCTTATAAATAAAAAACCTTCCCCCTTTTTCCCTGGAATTTCTGCATTTTGCCTCTATCGGTCTAGTATATGGCGGGAAAACTATTCTGCATCTAACTTAAGAATAGCACTAGATAACCAATTGCATTTCGGCAGTGTTTCGTTATTGATATGTGCTGTACTCATAAGTGAACTAAGCAAGAAACTAATAAGATGACACTCAAAGTTCAAGCTTGTAGCTCTAAACTAAAAAAAAATATTAACGAGGAGTTTTTTTTAAACTTATTTGCTTTTATTCATAAAAAGGTATGGTTTTTTAAGTTTACCTTTTTTAATTTTCTGCAACTATCCACTTTACCTCATTTAATGAAAGTAATCTTCATAGTTTATGGTGTAAGCCTTAAATATTCTAAATAAGTAATGCATTCAATATTTTAATTTATGGAAGTCTGATACAAAAATATACTTTTTTAATGAATTTCTATTTTTACCTTTCAAAAAATGAACGATTGTTCATAATCTGGAAAATCTGGAATAGTTTATGTATATTTAAGCATGAATTATATGACTGCCAGCATTACAATCAAACTATTTTTCAAAATGTCAACTTATGAATTATATACTCTACTATTATTTGTTACTATTTTTTAGTAAAGTATATACTTTTAAATCATATTTTAATCATGTTTATCAGCCTGAGTCGTTACATGCCTAAAGATAAGAAATGGTTCATATGAGTAAAAAAGATAAATATTAATTAATGAAAGATTTAAATATTTTGTTTGAAAAAGGAAATTCATTATCGGCTCTAGAAAATTTATGTTTAATTACTTTCATAGTGTTAAATCTTCAGATGTTGAAAGCTGTTCACTCATATGTACTTATCTATGGTGACCTCTATTCTTACATTTAGCATTTATATTTATAAAATAATGTAATAGAAAATGCAAATCACTTTTAACCAGGTATTAAAAGTATTACAAGGAATATTAAATTACTAACAAGAATTTGAGCAAGAAAGCCAAACCTTGCTTTCTATTTTTGTAAATTATTATTTTTTTTAATATTCCATGTCAACACAACAGGTCAGATTTGAGTAAAAAAAAGATATATTCTCTTAAAATTATGAAAATTTTAAAGTTTGATAAGTGTATTATTTTGGCATTAAAACAACAGTGTGAAAAAGTAATTGATAAAATAATGTTGAATAAATAAAGCTGATGAAATCCTACTCATAATAGTTGATGCCTCAATGGAAAGCTACATTCTGAAGTATTGAAAGGTAGTATTAACTTGTACTCAAATGAGGGAGATGACGAAATTTGTACTTACATAGTTTAACTTTTTTTTTCAATTCGTATATTCAATCCATACATACTCACATAGAAAAAGGTTTTATGCCACGTCTTCCATTAGTCTCTGAAAAATAAAGTATAAATATTTTTACTAAATTTAGTCCTTTTTAGTTTAGATAGCTTAAAATTTGCCTGCACATCTTTTTAATTTTTGCCATGCTTAGAAATTTCGATCTACTCTTGGCTTTGCAATTTAGCATGGATAATTTATGTTCATGAAAAAATTCTTTTTACCCTTTATTTGGCATATTATTTTTAAGGCTGAGCTGATTCACATCCTCTATATTTATTTCTATCTTTATCCCTCATAAATGCTGGAATTTTTTTTTTTTTAAGTTTCCAATACTTTTCTGCAAATTTCAAAGAACGAATTGTCTTCATGTTTTATTTATATTCTTTTTCTGCACTTAAAAGGGCTCTGTGGAATAGTTATATAAAAATTTGGATAGGGGTAGGTTTCAAAATTAATTTTTCTCTTTTGGAACTTTCTTTCTAGGAAAATTTGTTGTTGAAAATTTAGCCATTGGAAAGAAAACTCTGTGACATCCCAAGATGGCCCGTTTACCACTTATGTAAGCTACATTGTAAATTTTTTTTTTTTTTAAATTTTGATTAGCCTCTCTTTTTGGATGTGAAAATAATGAATTTTTGCCTTTAGTCATATTCTGAATCCACAGAGCCTTTCCCTGTTTTCTATCAAAATATGACTTTTAAACAATTCTGTTTTACTATGTTTCAACTTTAATTTTAACAGTTTTTATAACTACTGAGTTATCAATTGTAGTATTTTTTCCCCATAATACACCTTAAAATGCAAATAGAATTTTCTGAATGAGAATGCCTGTAATCTATGTCTGCCTGTTTCTAATCCCTAGCACAGTCAGAATTTTACGCAACAATATTCATCCTTGACCACTATGGTTTCTGGCTCTTAGATTAATCTTAATCAGATGTACTAGTTGTGTTCCACACAATCATATCCCAATGTATTCCTAAATAATAATTTTATTATTTGGTAGTAATTTGAGCTAATTAATTGGAAGGAAAAAAAGCTGTTTTGAACACAATGTGCATAATTGCTCTCCATATCAAATTACACACTCACATTACAAAACGTTTACCTGTCTATTAATGTTTTGGACTCAGCTATGTAAAAAAAAATTATATTGTGATTTATCAGTTAAATATCACAATGTATTGATACATTGCAATATAATATACATTGGAATATTATTTACTTATAAGATACAGAAAGTAAGATTAAAATAAAAGCTACATAATAAAAAATCTTAATAAAAATAATAAACTTTTTAACTTTTAAATAAAAATTGAATTGACTTAAGACCAATTGATGATGGTAAAAAAACCAGAAGCTTTGAATTTTAATCTTGAAATGTTAAACAGCTAAAGATTTATTAGTTTTAAAAAAAATATTTTATAGAAATATTTTACTTACATGCGTTCAAAAAAAATTTTTGAAGATAAAGAAAAGAGGGGTTAAAAGAAACCACAATTCACTGTTCAGTATGCAAAAAAGAAAAAAGATTACTTTTGTTATAATGGTCAGATTTTAAGAGTATAAAGTGCTTACAAGGAGTGTATTAAGTGCTTACAAGGAGAGGATACGACTTAGGAAATTCACTTTGGACTTCAATTTAGTATATTAGTATACCTTAAGGGTAATCACCTGTTGAAATAATAAAGCACACTAGCCAGCCAATTCTGCCAACAAAAAAAAAACGCATTTGAAATAAAAGCATTCTTTATATACTAGTTAAATCTTCACTTTGATAATGGCATAGTGGTCTGCAGTAGCCGGAAACCTGCCTGACTGTGAGATGCTAAACATTAAAATATTTCGAATCATGCAGTGAGCAGTTTTTTTCTCTTACATTTTTTATTACTTTTCCGTTTTCAATCAGTACTAATTTTATTTAAGGTTTTTTAATTATTAAATATTACTTGACATTTAAATTAGTGTTTTTGTGCCTCTTTAATATCTACTTTTCTATTTACAAATAGCATTAATTTAAATATAAATTATTTTGTTTATTATATTTTTTAGTTACTAGTTATTGCTTGTTATTTAAATTACAGTAATTCATTCCATAAAAAAATATTGATTAAAATAATTTTTTTTTTCATCGCCAATTTTTTATAAATATTATTTGTATGCTCCCTGTGGCAGAATTTTTTCGGGCTTTCTGCGACATACCTATCCAATACTAATATATTTCTTCAAGATACTTTTAAAAATAACAAATATGGGTGTTACTAAAATTTAAAAAAAATTCAAATTCATCGTTCGTCAATTTCAAATAAAAATAAACTTTTCTGATAAAATAATTTTTCAATTAAATATCTAAGATGTATTTTTTATTCTAACATTATATTCTCGCCTTTTGTTGGGGGAAAACGCACTAATTATTTTCGCATTTTGTAAATCATCGTCACATTAAAAAAATTATATAAAAATCATGAAATCCGTAGCAGTAACTACCGAAAGATAAAAGATTGACGATGAAATAACGCAAATAGGACTCTTCAAAAAAGTGTTTCTAAATGCGTGTTTTTATTTCAAGATTCAGTTGTTGTACTAAATAATATCGTATTAAAAATATAAAATTTTAAAAACTACGTATTTTAAAAACTTACGCAATAGTAACAACTGCGTAAAAAAAATTCAAACGAAAATTGCTACAGAAATGAAAACCAAATTTTTTACTTCATTATTCTTTATTTTTCGTTATTTTCAAATGAGAGTAGGAAAATCTCAAGCATTTTTTTCCCACTCAGATGCGCAAGAAAGACATCTTTTGAATGTAATTCTGAAAAGAAGATAAAATCTTTTGAAAATTTCTGGAGAAAAAAAACCAAAATTTTTTACTTCCCAAGAGAAAAATCTTTCTGCGGGCTCCATAACGTTCTGCAATAACGTCACGATTCTGCCACGGGGTGTATGCTTCTAAACTTTCTAAGTAAAGAAATCTTTTTAAATATTAATAAAGATTGCTTTTCAGCTGATCAAATTAAAAAAAACTTTGTTCTTGTTAACTGTAATGTTTTATTAATTGTGCAAGATGTAAATAAGTTTTTTGTTTTTTCACTTTTTTCACAATAATTATAATCCAGATTATTGTTCAAACAACAAAATAAATACTTAAATTGCAGAAAACAATTAAAAGCACTATTTATAGATATTACTTTAACCATTATCATATTATTGAACGGTTAGATAATTACTGTAATTTAAGTATTTAGCAATATCTAATTCAAAAATAAAATTATATTTCTACTGTAAAAAAATATTAGACAAAAAAAAATTAAGAGAAAAAAATTAGTCCACTGCAGGATTCAAACCTAAAGCATCTCATTGTTAGGCAGGTTCTCTGCCACTTGACCACTGTGGTGCCAGTATCAAAAAATAAATGTATCATATTTATAAAAAATGCTTTTCTTCCGCGAGTTGGTGGGTGAGTATGTTTTATAATTTTAAAAAGGGTGAACACCCTTAAAGTAGGCTACTAATAACAAAGTTTTATCCCAAAGTTAATTTCAAGTTGTGCCCACTTTGTTAGTGCTGATTTGTTTTTAAATCAGGCACATAAACATGTTTTTTTTTGTTGTTGTTGTTGGTGGATTGGGATTTTTGATCATCAAAATATGGAGATTACAGCAATCTGGAAAATATGGTCCTGATTGTTAAGTGGAGAGTAGTCATAAGTTTGGAAATAATTTTTTTATGATATTAATTGACAAAATGTAAGATTTGAACAAAAGTTGAAAAGTTTCTATGTTATGAAATTTCTAGAAAATTTATTTTTAAACTTTCATTTCTCATGAACTATATGACTGGTTTTCTATTTTATCTTTTGAAATTACATAATTATGACAAGTGAGTTTTTACATGAAATTCTCTTTGCTAAAAAAATTTGTAATTCAGTGAACGAAATTTTCAATGTGCTTAAAACAGGGATGTGATTATTCCCCAGATTCGCGGATTTCCGCTTTCTTTCAGATTTTTCCATTTTCCCTCTAATTTCCGCGGAACTTTTTTTTTTGAACAAGTTAACATATTTTATGAGGAATTTAAATTTCTGCGGAGCGAAAGTATTGAAGTCCTCATTCCTCCCCCTGAAGTTTCTCTAAAAATCATTTCCTTGGAATAAAACTGGTTGACCTTTATACAGGGATGAGATTTTTTCGCTTTTGCCTCTCGAATTTCAGCCTTTTTATCAAAAACTCCGATTCTCTAAAAGTTTAGTTTTTTTTTATTTTTTAAATATAAATATCCCGCTTTTTTTTGTTGTTGAAAATACAGTCGTTGAAATTATTTACGATTTTCAAAGATAAACAGAAAATTCAAACTACGTCCTAGCTGCCAACTTTTCCGTATTTTTACTTATTTTAGCTATTTTCTCCGCTTTTACTCGCAGAAAATAAGATTTTCCGTATTTTTATTCGTCCGCCGGGTAGCTGATTTGATTTTTTTTTTCAGACTCAATTTTATCTAAATGTAGTCATAAATGCTATCATATTCCTTTGAATGTGAAGCTATATCATTTATGTGCTTGAGTTCTGAGTCTTACTTTTTGGGAGAATTTCATGTTCACATTAGAATAGGTTTATGTGTTATTACTCTAAAGTTTATTGTAAATTGTTTGACCTCTTCCATTTTTTTTTAAGGAAAATCCCTAACAAAATTAAAACATCAAACAGCAATGCACATCTATCTTTCTCCGAAGAACCAAATTCATCTGTATTATTGTTACCAGCATCTGGAGCTTCCAATGCTAATTACTCAATGGGCCAAGAATTGTCTTCCCCTGCTAGTTGAAAATTATAAACATTAGCACAAAAACTAAATGCCAAAAGTCATTCCTTAATGTGATCATATTAGGACGTGGTTTCAAAGGTCACTGTGCATCTCCCAAATGACATTCATGTTTGATGGTGTCTTTCATATCTGTCCTGCTGTTGGAGTTCCTGTAGCATGATCTGTAAATGTTTTAGATGTGTACAGCTGGATCTGCCCCTTCATTTTTAAACATGAAAAAAAAAACTTTCTGCATTTCATTTTATACTATATTTACAAATGCAATTCTACAATATCATCATAGTGCAGAGATTGTAATTATAATTTTGAATATTTATTGACTCATTTTAAATACTTGGACATGTACATCTGTTTGTCGTGTGTATTTGATGTAAATCATTCCGATTGAAAAGGACTTTATTACCAGAAGATGTATGTGCCATTTCTTCCCTTTAGTGTTTGTTTTGTTTTAAAAATGTGAATGAGTGTTTACTTTACACATGCTGTGAATGAAACTGTTGTACTTTTCAAGAAAAAGTTTGCTACACTTTTAATCTGTTCAACTATTTGTAAAAAAATGTTGCAACTCTTAAAAAAAATATTGCCAATTTCTAAACAATTTATTATAGTGTAATACTTCATTTCGATTTGTGTATTTTTTAAAAAAACTTCCAAAGAAAAATAGATTTAGCTATTTGCACAATAGAATATCATAGTGAAGTGTAATTTTTTGTATTACCCTTTAGTAACTTTCAAGCTGTAACATAGAACATTCTATTCTATGTATGTAATGCTCCATGGGTACGAAACTGCTTGTGATCAGGACTTATTAGTCTTAACTTTGCACTTTTTAAAATTGTATATGATTCTGGTTATCAAAGATTTGATTCTGGAATAACTCTTGATATGCAAAACTTTAATGTTTGTTTTACCTTCTAATGTAATCAAGTGTTTTCTTTACACTTTTGGGGACACACATGGGATGAGATTGATTAATTTATTCAGCAAAGATTTTATGTGTAGAAAAAAATATCTTGCTCCTTACTCGTGAACTCTGCTACAATTTTTAGCATGCCTGACGAATGCGTTTTTCTTTAATTTTAATAATTAATCTGCAATTAAATGCAACGAAAAAAAAGCTTAAAACATTTTCTCTTAAACCTGTGATAATGAACAATTTATTTGGAAATACTTATTTCAAAATTGTGCAATGTTTTTTTTCTTTTAATATTCTCTACAGATACTCGAAAATATTGCTTTTAATTTTTCCCATTTTATTTAAGCTTAACTTATTTTTCGTAAAATATTAATAATTTATTAGCAAAAATGGGAAAACATGTGTGTAAAGGAGCAAATATAATAAACTTTTCACTATATTTGACTTAAGCTGCGAGGAATGAGTTCCCGTAGTTCTGAAATATTATTTAAATGTTAGAACTTATATATTTTCTAAAAGTTGTTATATTATTCTAAAGCTTTATTAGTAAATCCAGTTGTTGACTGTCATTTAACAAGTGCTATGTAAAGGGCACCTTGTGTCATTTTTAAAACAATGATTGTATTAACGAATATTTTATATGATAAAGCAATTTGTAAAAAATTAAAGTAAATGATTTCCATTTTGATTTAAGAGTACCCTGTTTATTTTATGCTGAAATGAAGCACACATTTCAGCTCCAGTAACAAATATTTTAAAAAAATTCTCTCTACAAATAATTTAGTAGATCATATTCTGCTTGTATTTTTAATTTTGTTGTTTATATAAAGAAACTTTGGCTATAAAAAAACAAACATAGACTATGTTTCTTTTCAGTATAAATCATTCATTTTGTAAGGAATTTGTTTAGTAAAAATTCGTTTAATTCATTGGTTCATATAATTTCCCATTTCTTTGTAAATGTTAAACTTTTTTTTCCCATTAGTAAATTTCAGCTTCTGGAATGATTGAGCACAGTATGTTTTTGAAAGATATAAATTTAACTAGTTTTTATTATGTTGTACATATAAAATGTATTAGTTTGATTTTAATTGCATTTTATTCAAGAACAGAAAGTTATATTATAGGATGTCCAAAATGTACGATTAAATATCTCTAGCAATACACATTGGATCATAGAATCTAAAAATATATGGTGCAAAATATTTTCAAAGAAATGCATTTAATGATATCAAACTCTACCTACAAATCTTACCCCCGTCTAAGTTAAGGAAGGGGTAACTTCAAAATCTCAAATAGGAATCATTTTTTTTTTCTTTAGAGATTTGGATTTTTCAGAAAAAAGTTCTGCCATTTTAAAGCAGATTTTTGCATTTTAGTTTATAGGTGATGCTGCAATTGCAATCTGAAAATGGTGTGAAATTTATTTAAAATAGAGATCTTTAAAAATACATATCAGTTTTCATAATTTAAGTGGTAATGCTTTCTATTCAATTTTTAGATTTATTAATTTAAAATGATTTTGATCATCACTACTTATTCATTTATTGAACACGCATGTACACATGGTTAGCATTAGATAGTGTGTTTCAGTTCTTACAAAATAAATAGTATATTTCTGCCTACAATCGTAATCCAGTTTAGTAGGTATGTTGATATTTTGAAAAATCTATCTGATAACATGAAACTAAACTAACTCTTTCAAACTAGGCCTTACGTTCAAGAAGTTGTCCTTGTTCCAGGAGAATAGAAAAAGCGTAGAGTTCGGCACCATTAGATGGGTTTTTAAAAATATCAATTATTTTATCTAAATATCTTTAAGTTTTTTGATCTGACAAGCATTTCTCTAGATTTTTCTATTAAAAAAATTTTTTTTACCCTCATTTTGCAATTATAGAATTACTTATGAATCAAAATGAGACATCCTATGTATGTATATGCAAGTGTCAAGTTGAAAAATCCAAACCTGCTATAAAATAATGGTGGATCGTATTTAAGATATTTGACCAATTCCGTACATTTTTGACCCTTGCATACATTTTGCTACATATATTTAAAAAAAGGACCCTATTTAATTTATTGGTATAAATTTTTTCTAACTTGCATTTTAAAAGAAATTTTAATCTAATTGTACTCAAATTTGCATTTTTAAAAGCTTTTTTTAATTGATTTTACAGCTTCAAAACTTATTGCAATTAATTCACATTAAGCAACCTACTGAGGTATATACACTAGCTGTTAAGAACAGTGGTTTCTTTTAAAGACTTGAAATGCATTTCATTAACTTTTTTTTAACTTAGCATGTTTGTCAAATGCATTTTGAAATGAATGCAGTATATTTTGTTTGATCTATATGAAAATAAAAATTATTTAATAAGATTTTTAATTTAACCAGTTTTTTTTTCCTCTTAATTTTCAGTTTTTTTCCTAATAAGTTATTTTAAAACATGATATAGTCTGGTTTTTCAAATATAAAACAATATAAATATTTAGGAAATCTGGTATTTGTGTCACTATTTCATATTTTTCTTATTAAGATAAGCTGTTCACATTCAAGCTAGAGTAGTGGTTCCTAAACTTTCTAAGAGATCTTCATTGTACCCAATTCTCCAGGTTCCGTTTTCTCTTACTGCGCCAATAAAATTTTCTTAATATTTTTCTCTCAAAAGTCATTAGTTTCTCTTTGTGAGCTTTGTTAATTGGCCAGCATTAGCTGCTATATAAAGCTATTGGTCTCACTAGTGTCTTGTACAACTGTATTTTTGTTTCACAACTTAAGTATTTAGCTTTGAACTGCTCAGTCCATGATAACATCTGTTAGCCATGTTGATTGTATTTTTGATTTAAATTCTTATGCCATTATTATAATTATTTACTATTGTTCCTAAATATTTAAATTGAGCTACTTGTTCAAGCCCATATTCATTAATTTTCAGTGGTTGCATATTTGTGATTCTGTTCGTTATTACCATGAGTTTAGTTTTTTCATCATTGACTGATAATCCTCTGTATTTTGCTGCTACCTTGAGTGCACAGAAAACCTCTATTATAGCTGCTCTAGCTCTTTCCACAGCATTATCTGCTAGCAGTTGTACGGTTTTAACAAAAAATTGTGATCTGTGTTTGTATACCAGAGTCTAATTGCCTTCTCTAGTGCTATATTAAACAGATGACATGACAGGGAGTCCCACTTTTTCAGTTCCCTTTCAATATAGATGCGTCTGATACTTCTGGTCCTAATTTTACTATATTACGGATCATTCATATGAGGTTAATTTTTTAGAGATTCCCAACCCTGACATTGCCTGATACAATTTCTCTCTATTGATGCTATCATAAGCTGTTCTAAAGTCAATAACGAGATGAAAAGTATCTATGCTATATTCTCTTGTCTTCTTAAATATTTGTCTAATGCTGTGTATTTGATCTCTGCCCGTTTGAAATCCACACTGGTATTTCCCAATTACTCTGCTAGTTTAAGTAACAAGTCATTCTGCCAGGACTTTCTAATGAATAGAGTTCATTTTTCTTTTAATTTCTATAACATTATTTCATATCTGCTTGAAATTCTATCTGTTAGCTGATTTTAATGTTTAGGCTAAGCAGAGAAGGTAATTAGCAATATATAGTTTCTTTTAATTTTGATTTATATTTTTGCAACAATTTTTGAACAGATAAAATTTATGATCCGCTTGAATGCAGATTGGGAACCACTAGTTTAGTGTTTTCTGGTTATGCAATTGAAGACTGTCGGAGCTTATTTTTTTAAATTCGTTTCACGAGTAATGATTTGTTAAACAATTATATATTTCTCTTAAATGTCTTGTATCTTGTGGATTAACCAAAAATTCAAATTAATTTATATTATATACATGAACGAATTGCTATCAGAATCCAAGCAACCCGAGAGTTTAATGTAGTCAGTTAAGTGTTGCATGATTATAAAAATACATATATTTTTCACACATAATATTACACTAATATTCTGAAGAAACAGATTTTGAAATAATTTAAATTTAGCAAGTTGTGAGCTTACTTTGTTGACGTGCATCAAATTGGAAATAATCTTGTTTTTAACAGTGACATTTGAACTACTGATTGTTCTAAATATTGACAAGAAAAAAAAAATGAGGAGGAAAATAAGGAAATCAAAATATCAGAGAGCTTGTAGTTAATCTCATGACTGCTAAGAGTCTTTTAATTAGAAAATATTTCTATGAACAAATTAAATTAAAAGTTATTGTGCTTGGATAATATTAATACGAAGTTGATTAATTTGACAATCAGAAAATTTCTCAATTTGTTATTAATTCAGTTTAAAAAGTCAGCTTGAATAATTTAACATTTGTTAGAATACTGTATGAAATAACAATTACGAAAATTCATTGTAAGATAAAGTTAATATTCTGAACTAAATCAGTTACTATTTACCTGAAACTTAGTTCATCTTGATGAATAATTTTTACATTGATTGCCAATTTTTTTATGCCATAAATGTAGGTTTAAGTTCATTATCAAAGGCAATATGATTATAGAGTTCATTCTTATGCTCAATGTGGTAAATTGATAAAAACTCAAATTACTAAATACTTATTGAAATCATAAGAAGCTTTAAATAATCTTCTGCTCAAAGTGTAACATTTCTTTGTTAAATAGAATTGAAGTGGTATGCTAGCCTTTATGCTGTATATACTAATTACAAAAAATAAGCAGGCTTTGTGCTATAATTGTACAGGTTAAAATACAACCTTGTACTGCTGTTCTATACTTAGATTGTTATCTTAACTTTATTTGTTGATATTCTGTTATTTTGTTTTTATTTTTAATGAATTGTGAATGTGTCTTGTTCATGAAAATACATGTATATATAACTAATTATGATTCTCATTACAATGATGTAATATGACTGTATTAAAAAATATCAAAGATCTGTTACTAGACCAAGCATTTAAAGAATTGATGTTTTGTTTTGAAAAATACAAAAAAAAGTGCTCATTATTAGAGCTTCTTGAAATACTCTATGGGTTGTTGTTTTAAATTTATTTTACAGAAATATAAAAGTCCTCATTTTAACAAATATGATTTTTTTCTGTTTTTAAGCAACATTAAGTACAAAAACTGTGACTATATTAGTATTTAAATTTGTAAAATATGTATTGTCATTAAAAGAATTTTTAATATTTCTTTCTATACTTCTTTTGTCTAAGTCATTTTTATAAAGTATACAAATTTCATGATTCTTTGATTTAACAAAGATTCACATGTCCCCATTATTCAATGTCATAATTGTTTATGGGTTTTATATTTAATATATATTTTTTTCTTTGTATTTATAAATAAATTTTGAATCTTTTTGTAAATAGAAAAAGAATAAAAAATTTTTTTTTCAATTTTTAAAATGAAGGAAAGATATTGTTTATTATACAATTTGTTTAAAATTTTCCTATTCTTTAGATATTTTAATTGACAAATAACTTTTAAAATAACTGTATTATTTATTTTTTATTTATACATATATGTACAAAATATTTTTCTTGCCTTGCATTAGCTTCTTGAATCTATTCCTTTTGTAAATGTAACATTTTGAATTAAGTGATTTATGAAGCAATATTATAATAAAAATAACTAAATTTGCATATAATAGTAATCGTTTTTTGTGAGCATATTTAATTCTGCATTTCATATGCTTCGAAATACATTTTTAACTATTCTTATCTTAAATGTAATGCTTTGTAACTCTTATTTACGAAATTATAGGATATTACAAAAAACTATTTTAGCATTATTTCCATAGGATAACAGTTACTTATATATCTTTTTTCAACTCCTCTGCTTATTATAAGAATTAATACTTTGTATTCAAATTTGAATTTTTATTGAGCAATAGAATTGTTGGAAATCATTTAATTTTTCAATGAATCATGATTTTTCCTCAAACCATATTAGACATAATTTTTTTAAAGGTTTATTTGCAAGAAATAAATTTAGCTTTGTGTTTCTTTAAAGAATGAAGTTTATGGATTTTCCTTTATAGCTATTAATTATTAGACTTTTATGATGTTTCTATTCTACAGTCAAGACTTAGGATGAAAAAAATGTTTTTGATATTGCTTTCTGTCAATTCTAAACCTTAAAAACTGTTACATTAAAATGTTACAATGTTTTTTTTTTTTTTTTTTCAGATGAAGTGAAGATATTTTATTTTAAAAAAAAATTCTATTAATATACAAAAAGTGAAAACTGGTAGTAATAAAAATTGTTTCTGAAGTATTTGAATGCATTGGATCTATACTCAAAGTAGTTTTTCTTTACACTTGTAAAAAATATTGTTTAAAAATATTTAACTGTATTATTGCTTTTTAATCAGATAAATTTTTTACATTGCTTACAGAACAAAAATTATTGACATGTTGAATTTCTTTTTTTTTATCAGAGTATTCTGTTTTACTTATTACTTTACCAAATTTTCATACTTACATAATCTTTATCTTTATCAACAAACTTAAATAGCATTTCTTTAAGCAACAAGGGTAAAAAACTCACTCTACAAGTTGAATTTTGTAAAGCTGTGAACAAGAAATTTAAATCTGCAATGAAAATTCAGTTTGGGAACACTGAGCCTGAAATAAGGCAAACGTAAAGTTATGTAATATGTATTTTTATATCTCATATGATATGACTAAAGTTCTTCAGTATCATTGCATTAAAAATCAATTTATTAACAAATGAATTCATACAAACTTAGAAATGAATTATGTACATGCGTACAGTATATAAGAATATAAATTACAGTATCTGTCATTTGAATCCACTGAATTCATTCTCCGGTGAAATTATAAAAACTTGGTAAAAAAGTTTTTTAAAAGTAAAAAGTATGAACTATTTTACTATGCTAATAAAGAAAATAGCAAAGTAAGAAGGACAGGTTGTATACAGAAGAAGGTACAAAAATATAAATTATATTCGAAAGAATTTGATAAACAGATGTTCACACCTAATGTGAATATTGTTGTTTTACTATACTGTTGCAAGGGAAATATTGTTGACAATTAAGTCACAATCTATCATACTAATTTAAATTAGTGATTATTTTTCAATATTCTACTTAGAGCAGGCTTAATTTTAATATGGGAAAATATATTTTATTTCATGTTATAAAATATCATCCTTATATCTTATCCAATATATCAGATTTTCAGTTCTGCAGTGCGCAAAATAAAGAAAAGGACCACCCTGAATAACTTTTGATCTCGTGATCAGATCTGCACTTTCTAGAAATAATGTCTAATGTCACAGCTTAATGGTTCGAGAGGTAGATTTTAAATATGCTAATTAATTAGTGCACACCATATTTTAAGTTACGAAATCAGACACAAAAGGCACTTTTTCTGAAGAAACACACCTTTTTATTCCCGAAATGTAAATCATGTAGTCATGTTATTCCCGAAATGTAAAAATAATAATGTAGCCGCAATAGTTAGGTCAAAAGAGCAGTCCAAAGTTTGCACCCTTAATGTTAATTTTACTTATTGCATTTTTAACCATATCTTGAGAACTTTGAAACCAAATATAAAACTTTTTGCACGCAATTATAAGATTCCTTTATCCAAACATAATTAAATACAAATAATAACCTTTAGTAGATGTACATCCTCTTTAATTGTAAAAGATAACAAACCACCAAGAAACTCCAATTAACAGGTTATTCGTTAAAAACACTTAAAAGTTGTTATTAAAGAACAATTAAACTTTCGATTGTAAACATCTCATACTGCAGGTGGGCGTCACCGGGTAGAAACGGAATATCGGTACGAAGTCTGGATGCTGCACAACAACCCTTTCGAAGGCAAACTGTCATCTCCTTAAGTACTAGACATCAGCCTCTTCACTCCCTGCCTTGGCCGCCGGTTGTGCTCCTTCTCCGGTATTCACTCGTGCAGGAACTATTCCGGTTTGTCCTCCTACCTACGATCCAATACTCGATCCTTCTACCTCGGCTTTTCATGCTATCTCAGCTGTCGCAACCAACAGCCTCTGCAGTAGCCCCCTACCAGCGCTAGCGAGACTTTTCCAGCTTATTGCTGAAACTTAACTCGACGGCCTGGTCGTGTCTTAACCTCTTTTGGCAAGTCACCAGGTTCTGGGATAGTATATTCCTCTGTAGATTCGCTCATAGCTGTTGATTCGTTTTTTGGAAATATGTCCTGTTCGATCCACGTTTACCGTACTCTCTCGGCCGTGAATAAAAATCCTAAAAACCTTCTCCTCTCGACTCAGCACTTGAAACGGACCTTCGTATGGTGGAAACGAGTGCTCCGTTCTTCTAATACATAAACTATAATAATACTTATAACTAAAATAAGTTATAAATAAATATGATTAACAATAAGAAAAAAATTATCGTATTTTATTAATATATATTTGAAATGGGTTATTTTTTTAAAAAAAAATCATTGTTTTTCTTAATTTTTTAAAATTTTATTTAAAAAAATCCATTTTAAGGGGGCCCCAGGCCATGGCCTAATGGGTAATCCAGCACTGAACTGAAAAGAGGAGGAGAGGGTCAAAACCTGGAACCCCTCTTTTTCCCAGATGGCGTATTCGAGCTTTGCTATCGCGAATTCAAAAAATAATAAACATCGATACATTACACTATTATAGCCAATAAGGGATAAATAGCTCAAAACATGGCAAACCTTACACTTCACTTATGTAGTGACATTAATTTTCTTAAATTTTATTTAGGCTCACAACCTGTTAGAATTTATAAATCACAGAAAAGTCTTATAATTGGTAAAATTTTGCGTAAATGGATGGTGTTTTCAATACAAATGTAAACAATAACAATCTCGAGCTCTATACCTGCTGTAGTTCCGGTTAGAAAGTTTGCAACTGCTTACTACAGCTTATTCAGCGAGGCAATATTTTCAAACGGATAATTTTGTTTTCAATAAAAGAAGTAAATTAGATAATTTCTGAGTTCAAATCTGGCGTATTTCATAAGATATTAATATCCTTAAGTAATTCTGGTGAGTTTGAAGTGAAAATTTGTTTTAGTTATTTATAGATATATTGTTAAAAAAGGTGACTTGGTTGCTAGATGAATAACTTGCTTTTTTGGCAGTCCTGATTTGGCCTCTTTCCATTTGTTTATTACTGTTAGTTCTTGCTGATCTTACTTTAGTGTTAGCACCTTTAGCATTGTAAACACAAGTAATAAGTAATCAAATACCACGTTCGCAAGAATCTCAAAACACAATGATCACGTTGTGAGTCAAATGGCTTTAAAATACATCTGAAACAGTAACCTGGTGGTATGGAGCTTGCAGCGTTCCCTAGTGTAGAAAACACCATTCAATTGAGCAAAATTTGCAATAATAAAATTTCTTAGAATATTAAACTTTTTCACACATCGCCTCATAAGCGCAACATAAGCGAAGGGATACACCGGAAGTTTTCTAAATTTTTTTCCGGTTTCAGAAAGCTAGTTATTGTTTCGATTCAATCAACCATCCATATAATTTTTTTATTAAAAAAAAAAATTATCTGTTTGAAAATATCGCCTCACAGAATAAGCTGTAGTAAGCAGCTGTACTTTCTATCCGGAAGTAGAACAGGTTAGGAGCTCGAGATTATTGTTGTTTACTGTGGGGTGATAATTATCGACTATGTCAACTTTCATCTATCTAAAGGTACCCCAAGATTAAATCAAGCAAGCATGTCTTACATACTAATGAATTGATGCTTAATGGATGGTGTTCTCAATATTAATGTAAATAACAATCTCGAGCTTTAGACCTGCTCTACTTCTAGCTAGAAAGTATACAGCTGCTTATAGCTCGTTTAAGCTAAGAACTCCTCACGCCACAAAGTCTGAGGTCGTCGGGTGCTATGGAAACAAGAATGGCGCATTTTAGTGAGGGTATAGCTTCACTCTAGGACTCTAAGTAAGATATTCCTTTCCTCTCACCAACCCCAGCCGAAACCACTCCAAAACAGTGATAATGCACAAGAAGTCATACATCGTTACCACAGTCACAGGTCCAGACGAATGTCTGGAGGAGTTCTTATTTTAGACAAACTATACTTTAGCTTATGGATGGTGTTTTCTACACTAGGGAACGCTGCAAGCTCGGGACTGCCTAAATTTTCGGGTTACTGTTTCAGTTGTATTTTAAAG